AGAAGGAGACCTTTCATGAGGTCTTCTCCCAGCATCCGTTACCTTTCTCTTTGGTAACCTTTATGGATGTCCTGTCCCTAGCAGCAGAGCCTTTCTTTGGGAAGCTTCCTGGGCACTGACTGCCTTCCAGAAATTCTGCCAAGGCATCACCATTGCAGAGGAGGTCCCATAACCTTGGATCTGGGTTCAGCACTGGGGTGAGAGCTGATACCTTTCTCTCAGGAAAAGGCTCCTGTGGAACAGTCGGGGCGCCCTTTTGGATCCGCTGCAAAGGGAACAGGGATTAAGCAATTCACCACAGTGCCAGGCATAATTTCAGGGCCCGGAAGTCTCATTAAAGTTAGCTTTGACAGAAGCATAATGTTATTGCCACTTGCTTGAATAAATTTTTTGAGGTCTATCCTATTAGGAAGATCCGTTTCTTTTTCTTCTTTTGAAACCGGCTTCTGATCTGAATTTTATTGCTGTGAGCATCTTAATGTATATATAGCAGTTTTTTAGCAGAAGTGAATGTGAAGGCATAAAGATCGTTCCTTAAGGAAAGCAAACCCTGGGGATGCAAAGACCAGTAGCTAAGTGCATGGGGGGCACACGTGTGGTTGGGGGTCCTTGGGACCAGCGAGTGACCCTGAGCATCGCTGGGGACACTGTCACCTCTGTGATTCTGGAGCAAATGCACTCAGGAAAGTTGGATTGACCAAAGGGAATCCAAAGGAGATGAGGAAGGAGGACAGACCTGCCTACACATCCAAGGCCCCTTTAGAGATTGTGTTTTTTTCTGCATGTAGATGGCCTAAATAACCCCAAGCTGAAGAGCATTATGCAGATAAATTAAAAGCCTTGGGCCCGGCAGAATTCAAAGCATGCTGGGCAGGGGAACGTGCCAAGTACCAGCTGTGTGTTAAATACCGGGTAACCCTGACCCTGCCCTAAAGCACTTATGGGGTCTAAAATACCCAACAACAAGACCAGCATTGGCGAAGAGCGAGGCAACGAGGCGTGAGGAAGGGACACGTTTGGACAAGGGTGGGACACAACCGTGAGATATGTAGGATGTGTCCAGGCACGTCTATGGCCATGCTTCACAAGTAATGTGTATTTAAGGAAGAACATGATGTTTCCAAGGTTTATAATGAAGCTGGAGACCACGGCCATGAAGGAAGGGTCATCTCAGTAACGCAAACCTTGCTGCTACTCAAGAGACAAGAGAAGGTCTAAGGGCGGAGCCCAATCTGAAGGGGATCAGGAGCCCTGTCTATGCGCTTGTGTTGACCATTGTTGAAGGAGACTTTCATAGGTGCGTTTCCGGGTCATGGTCACTGCTGGTAACTTTGCTCACCATTTCTGTGTTGCAGCTCCTCACCTTCTGGAATGTTTGAGAAAGAATATGACATTTATCGGGATTACAACGCTGAAGGACAGCTCCTTCACTACAGGTAACCCATCCTCGCTCCCGGGGCCAGGGCTGTGGGGTCGGACGTGGCCTCTGCAGCGACACATGGGCATGGGACAGCCCAGGTACTGGGGCAGGTCTGCAGAGAAGGGGCAGGTGACGGGTGATGTGCTCATGTTTATCACCCACTTCTGATTCTTCCTCCCATGTTTTATGCCTTTAGGCCTTCTGCCACCCTTAAATAAAGTTCCAGATATATTTTGCTGGTTCTTTGGAGCAGGGACCACCATTGCTTTCATGTAGTGGTGTCAATTTCCATGACCTCAAATAAGAGCAATTGCAGGATGAAAGAGCCCCCTCATATTGACAAAAAACAGAACTTAGTAAAGCTATGTTTGCAAAGAGCACCACAGGCCTAGCCCTGACTTCGTGCTCCATGATGCCTTGCGCTTGTGGAACTTCCCATGCCAGAGGTTTTTCCATGTCTTGATGGTTGATGGCTCATCTGAGGATGCAGGTATCCGTGTAATCTATGGCCACAGCAAGGCTGGCTGACTCGGTGCAGGCTCTATGGAGCCCCTGGAGAAGCCAGCCTGGAGATGGGAAGGCCTCCTGAGACATGAAGTCACCTCTTCCTGCCCGGGGGGTCCTGCTGCTTTGCAGGTTCTATTTGCAAGACAGAAACTCCCAGCTTTTGCAACAAGCTTTTTGCCCTGTGAACCCAGGGCTGAATTTAGGGTGCCCACAAGTTTTGCTGCAGCCCAAATGGCTCTTGGCAGCTCTTTCTTGTTGCTCTTGGCCTTGGCAAACAGCCACTGCCTCTCTGCTCCTCAGGGAAACAGCATCGAAGGGAGAGAGCTCAGGGCACCCCCACTGATTGCTCCGCGCTCTGGGTCCTTGCTAGGAGCTGGGCTTGGAAATGCAATTTGCTTTGCATTCCCTTCTCTGGCCTGTTTACTTTTGAATCCTTAAAGCCCTCTAGGCGCTGCTCCTGCCGGGTGATGCCAAGTTCCCGGAGCACGCGAGCTCCCTGCCAAGCGTTTGGCATTCCGAGTCTCCGGGACGGAGGACGGGGCGCTCGATATGGGTTATTCTTATTTGCATCGTGACAGCACCCAGGGCCAAGATTCCCATTGCGTGCAAGCTCGGAGCAGACAGGAGGGGTCAACGAGACAGTCTGTGACTGTGCAATACGCAGCAATTCCAGTCTCAGATTGAGGCGGACCCAAGCGTCCCACGTAGAGTCCCCCAGAGATGTTGGCCACGTGCCATCCTCTTAGAGGCTCATGCCCCATCCAGCCAAAGCCCTTGGCTTGAAGCCCTGGGCTGTGGGGTGAGGTGCACTTGGCCATTAGAGCTGCAGACGTCGGCTGGGACGGATTAAAAGCCGGTGGCTCTGGTGACCCCGTCACCTGTTGCAGCAGCTGCTTCCCGGGACAGCGCTACCCGCCCCGTAACTGAGCTCCTTCAATGCGGCCACCCAAGCAACCGCTTGGACCGTCAGAATTAATTGCTGCTTAAATGGGTACTGAAGAAGGTGCTTTCTAGGAGAAGGACCAAATTCAGGTGGTGATGGGGACACTGATGTAGCCCCAAATCGGTTGTGTGCAAACACGGGCTAGATGCCAATAGAAAAACTTAAGTTTTCGCAGGATCACCATTTTTTCTGTGCACTGGATGGATTTAACACCCTTTCTGCAGGCAGGGAGAGAGAAGGGAAGCGATTTGGCAGGTCCGGAGCCATCGTTTGGGTTGGGACAGGAGTTTGCAGGTGCCTCCCGCTCCGCGTGCTTTGCTGTCAGGCATCAGATGTGTTTTCTTTGGAGCCAGCCCTGGGAAGCAGGCGAAGCGCCCAGGCACCGGGCAGCATTTGGGCCCTGCTCATTGCAGAGCTGCAGGTCGCGGCAGCAGCTGCTGCTGGACACGGGCAGGACTGGTGCAGCAGCTGCCCGGGCGAGCTCTGCTCTGCCAGGACGCCCTCAATTAACAGATTGGGTTTCAGCGCGGCAAGCGGGTTGCATCAGCACGTGCCGCGCTGCGGGAGATGCCGCCATCCCCCCTGCGCCGCCTGCACAGCCCCAGCCGCAGCCCCCGCTGCCCTCCCCCCATCGCTTCCAGCCGGGATGCTAATTAGCAGCTTGGCTTAATTAGCTGCGAGTGGGCTTCCTTCTGGAGGAGCCCGTCTCAAGTGCCCTCTGTCTGCGGGCTGCCAAGGGAGATGAAGAGAGGAGCTGTTGCAGATAAGGGGCTTTTTTAACTGTGTGAGTGCCACATGCGTGTGGCACTTGACTGGGCCTCCCTGATCCCTCTTCTGCTCAAGCTGCTCTGGTGGGGAGAGCTGCACATGGACCTTTCCAGTCCTACCTCATTTCAGTACCAGCTACTGAGGTTTGATGTTAAGGAGGACACATGCCATATTCTGAAAATCGCCCCACCTGAAAGTATTGTGTTTTTTGCCTCTCCCGGACTTGGCTGGAAGCTTTTCCCGAGCGGGGTGCATTTCCTGAGCGGGGTCCCAGGTGAGCTGGCAGGAGGCCCCTGGCCAGTGCCAGCCCTGGTGCCCCTAATGCCTGCGCTTGCCCCAGAGCTCCCCCGGGTCCTTCAGAACCAGCCTAGATGTTCAGCAGCTTCCAAATTACATTCATGAAATGATCCCAAAGGCTTTGCCATCGGGTGGGAGATCAGGGCCTTCATGCAACAGCCTTCTCACGTCCTTCCAGACTTCCCCTGCCCTCCAAATCTTGCTTTAGTCCTGCAGATATTTCTCAGAAGCCATGGTAAGCACAAAATGCCTCCTTTGAAGAACTCTGAAGGACAAGATAAGAGGTAGGAAGGCAGCAAAGTTGGTGTAGGGATGGAGGGTTGAGTTGTACAACAAGGCTCTGTGGTGCCTGAAGAAGCTTTATGAGAGTTAGTCCGTCGCTTGCTCTCTTCTGCATGTGTGCCCTTGTGCTTCTGTCACCTCTCCTTTCTCCAAGGAAGGAAGAAGCTGTAGGACTTATAGGTGGTTCGGTGAAGTTCGTGAGCCGAGTGGCTCTGCAGATGCTGCAGCCTTCAGGACGATAGTGTGAAGCAGAGGGAAAGGTGCCTGGAAGGAGCATCTTCTGTCCACTCCCTTTGGGTGCTGGGTAGTCAAAGGTCCTGCTTGGCATCGTCTTCCCCACATGCACCTCTGGGCTTGAGCTGCCCGGGTTGCCCAAGGCTCTGCAGCAAGACCTCGAGGAGCAGCCGGGGATTTTTCCACTTCATTCATAGCACCGAGTCAGTGCTCCGAGCCAACAATTGCTATGAGAGATTTTCTAATATAATGAAGATTAGTGAGTGTCATTAAGAGGATGACGTCTTGCTCCGTCTGTCTAGAAGGCATTTGTAGGAAAGCCCTGCATCCAAATCCCATCAGGAAAGGCAATTACAATAACTGTGCTTAACCCTTTCCTCCTTACACCTTTGGGTTAGTGGTCCCTGGAGCCTAGTTTGCTTAATGGCCTCATTTCTCCTCCTATGGCTCTGTTGAGCAAGTAGGACTCTCTGCTGATCCAGGCAGTGGTTTTAGGTCAAGAAGTGTTTCCCACTTTGACAAATCTCAGATCCCTATCGTCATTCCTACCCGTGCCAGCACATGGACTGGAGCTCGCTCTTGGCTCCATTGCTTGAATGTGACACCAGTCAACGGCTGCGCGGGGTAGAGGTCCCAAACCTGCTCGATCTGATCTCTGCATCCGAAAGTTTCAACTTTCTGCCCTTAATTTGTCTCCCCACCCAGCAAGCAGCTGCTCAGCTCCTGCGACCCTCTTTGTCCCCGAGTGCTGGTTGGTAGGACGCATTAGTCACAGCTGCCGCGTGCGCACGCTTGGGAAGATGCTGGAGCTGCCTGGCGGGGGGAAGCACAGCGAGCCGGACATGGAGCGTGACAGCAGAATGGCCAAGACCCTGCTCTCCTGTCCTGCTCCCTAGGAAATGGGGATTCATTTCATGAGGATGTCCTGAGAACAGGAGAGTTTGGCCTGAAAATGTGCCCTCAATACCTGTTGAAGGCATCTCTGCTCTGGGGAGAAACCGGGCACATGCATATTGGGCAATTTAATTGAGATCTGCTTACTTGGGTATAGACAACATCAGGCTCCTAGGGAGACCTAGGGAAACGTCCAGGATGGCCTGGCTCCTCCAAGGATCTGCCAGGAGAGCTTGAGGAGGTCTACCATCTTCTGATGGATTTCAACATCTCATGGTCAGGAGGAGTCACTTCATAGCTGACTGTCTAGAAAAACAAGTAGAGAGACCAGGAAAGAACTGGAGGTGGCTTCCAAGAGACATGGCTCCACATATGGGCTTCTAGGCCTGAGGCCTGGGAGCTGGGTGTACATCTGCCAGGAGGACACTGTGGTGAGACACGGCTGCAGTTGGCCACCATCTCCTCCCTATCTTTGTCTCTTGTTTGTCACATGGGCTGTGTTCTCCAGGGGTTGCTATGTTCATCTTCTAGCCACAGGAGTGTTCAGCGACCAACCCTTGCATTTCCACCCGTGCATGAGCTAGCAGATCGGTAGCTCAGTAGTGCCTTCACGTGGACACTGGCCGTGGGTTTAATTTCCATTGGGAGCCTCCTGGCAAGGTGTGGGAAGCCAAGTCTTCGGGAGAAGACTTGCTGTGTCTTGCAAGAATCCTAAGGCAAAGTTCAGGAGGCCCCGTAACAGACATGGAGCCCCGTTCCTGTCAACGGGCTGCACATTTAGCAGCGCAATAACAAAACTGGTCGTGGTGCCAGGGAGGAGGAGATCTTCACCCACTTGCTCCTGCCCTCAGGCCTTGGGCAACACTTTGCCACTTTCTGAATTCTGCTGAGCCTTCCACATTCCTCCCAAAACTCTTGACAAAGCCACACGTGTCCCCAGCATTTGCTGCCTGCAGATGGCTGGGGATGCACCTGCCTGGAGAAGGGCCGCGGTGGCTCTCCCAGCTGTCTCGCTTGCAGCACAGCCCAGGCCCACGTGCCTTGCTGTGACCAGCTGTCTGGTTTATCTGGCTCCTCATCATGCTCAGGCT